CAAGCTGATTTGGACAATAAAAATGTAAGACTACAGTGATGCATTCCAAGGCTTTTGAATATGTTACTCACTTTCATCTACAGGAGTAAACTATAGGACACTGTTACCTTGTTACACAGTTTTTCACAGTATCACACAGTACTTCACAGTTGATAATATTCTCATTAATTTGGTTATTGTTGCTGTAGAAAAGACCCTACTGTTTCATATGTATCATGTATAAAATGACTTACGTCATTAGTTGGATACGTGCCAGTGGACTACAACCATTTATTAACTTAAAATTTATAACATTTTAAGTTGCAGTGAGTTTGCCTAGTCATACAAGATACCTCTGAATAAGTCGATCATGACCTTCATTCTTTCAGACTCTGTAATGAGCACAGAGATTCGTGCCTTTCTGTCTTGGTTAACCTGTGTTCCCATTAGGGATACTGCTGCCTGTTCTTGCTGAAGAATTTGTATCCTGGCCTTTTCCTCAACTGTGAGCTCATGTCTCTCAAACACTTGATAAAGAAGCCTTCTGTAGTACACACACACACACACACATAGCCCCATACACGTGTGTATGTATACAGTATAGATGTATATATAGACCTTAATATGCTGCTAATTTGCTACTTCCTGAATAACACCTAGCCGTTCTAAACTATATTAAAAGATGTTGCATCATTAGGCCTACATTCCACAAAGAGCTAAAACTAACTAAACTAAAAAAATAACAGACACTAAATACACATCATGTATTATTATTAAAATGATTTGTATTACCTGTATTTGTGTTCCTCATTTGGATCCAGCACATGGTAGTAGTGCACCACTAGTACATCCAGGAGCTCATTCAGCCTGTTGCATACCTCCAGCATTTGAATGAATCTGTTACTGATGGGCCTTATCAAGCTCTTGGCAGTGGGGGGGGGGATGGAGTAAACTTTGAAACTGTGAAAAAAATCTCCTTCTGTTTAGGTGACTTCTCTATGTCATAATAAACATCAGAGCAAACATTTTCCACTTCTGAGCTAAACGGGCTCATGAGGGCCTTAGCAGAATTGGACACCATGTGAAGTGTGTCCTGAGATGTCCAGCAGATTCAGGTTCTCCTTCCTAGCTAGCGTCTCAAGCCCAGACTTCTTTCCCCTGATTATTGCGCAATTGTCCAGTAGAATACTGGTGACTTGTCTCTACTCCAGCCCATATGATTGCAGGACATCTTTTAGTTCCAACATCAACGCTGAGGCATTCGCAATATTGACTTTTTTGCTGGCAAGGTGCTGTGTTTTCACACTGCATCCTCATCATAAAATTGGACCAGTACATTTAGGATTTTATTCATACTTTTGTCCATGGCCTCATCAATGTTGAGTGACAACATGCCATTCTTTAGCTTCTCAGACAGACTTTTTTTTTTAACTCTGGCGAGATGCTGTGTGTGACAAGATTAATCGCATGCTGCCTTGAGACAGACAGATGTGCGAGGGCGGGTTTATCCTCTGCTAATTTCTTACATAATGTGACAAGTGGATGAGCGATAGTAAATGACATCTCATGCTCAGCAATGAAGGAGCACAAGTGAATTTTTAAATTAGCCAGACAGTCTTACCAGCAACAGATCCGCTATTAAGGGGTGCGAAGTGTCTGCTGCCAGCACATGGTTTTACGTCTGTCAGCTGCATTTGCGCTGCTCCTCCGTCCTATAAAGAGGACAATTGAACAGCAGTGTGAAGAAAAGGCAGAGAAGCAGAAGTCAGTGGAAAAAGCCCCATTACTAACCCTAAGCCCAACTTACTGCAAACAACAAACTGTATTTCATATGTCTGCATCATGTTTGCCAATTTAATTTCAGTAATCTGTGGTGGTCAGTGACAATGATTTATTTATTACCAAACGGTATTGAGATTGTGCAGAGTGAGGGACTTAGGGAGTATTACGGAAGAATAAAAGCTGAGTCCCGTATCCAGGCGAGATGCGTAGCTGACAGGCTGATGAACGCTTCAAACTCTTACTTCCACCATACTGACAGGAAGAGCGAAACACAGTTATTACTTTATCCATCCATCCATCCATCATCTACCGCTTGTCCGGGGTTCGGGTCACGGGGGTAGCAGCTTCAGTAGAGGCACCCAGACCTCCCTCTCCCCAGCTAACCCCACCAGCTCCTCGG